GCAATCTACCTTAAAGGCAGCGTCCCAGCAAAAAGATGGTGCCGGTTTTCGTGGTGATCTCAAAGTAGATCCCCTACCTAAGCGATGTCTGAAGTTCGGAGCGAAGAAGGGGGTCTACCAAGAAGAAATTTTTTCTAAAAATGGCCCGGATCTTACGATAAGCCCGAATTCCGCCCGCACAGCAGTTTCGATCTGCAAGGCCAGGGCACGCATAGCGCACACCGTCATGAGCGCAGGGTCCCGCAGCGAATCCGCGCTTCTATCTTGCATGCATCTCGTACTCGCCCGAGCCTACCGTAGGATTAAGGCTTGATTAAGGCGCCCAAGCGGCAGCGCGAATGCATTCATGGCGGAGAAATCCGTCCCCAACCTCGTGACAGCGCCGTGACCGGGACCCGAAAATGACTTCGCTCACATTCACAGTACGTTCGCGCTCGGATCCATCTTAACTCAGTCGCGAGTTACGGTGACGGCTCAGGAGTGGAGCGTGTGAGGCTAGATTTCCCAGCCGTGAATAAATCATTTGTGCTTTGGCAGTGTTTTAATTAGGATCCACTCATCAGTTTCCACTTGAAAAATGCATGCGCCCGAATTTGCCTAGACACTGCCTTTAAGCAAAATTTAGAAACTTAGTGAAATTTGACCGCTTATCGCATTTGAACGGGCATTCCTGTAAAATAGACTTGTGCGTCGCCGAGTTGAGTCAAGCGTTGCCCTTAGATTCAGAATATGTCCAATTTGAAGGAAGAACTTCCCTTACAAGGGAAGTTCACTTATTCGAAGTGGCGATTCGGAAGGAAATCTATACCACTGGATAGAGCTCAAAAAGCTGATCTCAGATATACCTTCTATATCTGCGACGCATTGTTTTGAAAGAAGTTATGAGCTTTTCTAAAACCAAATTTTCGTGCATTTTGAGTCGCAAAATCATGATAATCGCTACACAAAAGTGTGCAAGCTCAAGCAAACCACCTAGTAAGCATTGTAGTTCCACGTCGAGTTCATTCGAACGTGTTCGAGTGTTTTTCGACCACGTTGTTCATCCACAGGCCGTCATTTCATTCCTAGATCACTTTTCCATTATGTATACAAAAAAAGCCCCATAACCTCCTTCTAGAAAAACGCGTTGCGTCGGAAACTTTTTGGAAACTACCAGTGGATAGAACGTAAAACGATGTTCTTAAATGTATCTTCAATATCTGCGACGCGTTCTTCTAGATGGAGGTTATGGGCTTTTTTTGTATACATAATGGAAGTGTGATATAGGAAGGAAATGACGGCCTGTGAATAAATAACATGGTCGGAAAACGCTCGAAAACGTTCGCATGAACTCGAATTAGACCTACAATGCTTTCTAGGTGGTTTGCTTAAGCTTGCACACTTTTGTGTAGCGATTATCATGATTTTGCTACTCAAAATGCACGAAAATTTGGCTTTAGAAAAGCTCATAACTTTTTTGAGAACAACGCATCGCAGATATAGAAGGTATATCTGAGATCAGCTTTTTGAGCTCTATCCACTGGTATAAATCCCCTTCCGAATCGCCACTTCGACTAAGTGAACCCTTGTTAGATTCAGAATATGTCCAATTTGAAGCAAGATATGGCGGTGAGTTATGTAAGTGGGACAGCGCATAGCTTATTAGGTCTGTCTTAAAAATAAACCATTTTTTACTTCACAACAATATTGCTGCATTTCTTCTCCGCTCAGTCGATCAGTCAAAAGTTGAATAGCATAGGTTTGTCCCGAGATGATCTTTCAATATGGAGAGAACAATTTTTATCGATAACCCACAAAGCCCAAACTTATTGCAATTTCACTCATATGCTGCGCGAGGATCTTCTACTATGCAATAATTACTGTATATACAGGGTGTCCCAAAAAGATGTGCCTACTGTTTGATTGTAAATAACTTTCTTGTAATGAAATCTTCCGAAAAGCTTTAGGTGCCCTTTTGTAAAGCTGGCTTCAACTTAGATATACAGTATAGAGCGAATCACCGACCTCTTCACTACTGTAATATTGCATTAGAAACTTCAGTGGGTGTAGGCCTTTCTGAACCCGCTACAGTAATGACGAGCGTAATAGGTCACCGCGCGCGGGAGGTCAAACCGTGATTGGCCATTCCGCTGCAGCGAGCCTCGCGGATGCGGACGAGTTACTCATTCGGCGTGTTGCGTACAATCAGCTCGGCCCTTTAATAACGCCACACGTAGAACAAGTTTTTTGGGCCTGAAATCAGAATTGACAATCACACTTACTACTTTTTATTTACTGTAATTGTTGTGTTTTATCATTTTTTCGTTCTAATCGCGTTTCTTCTGTTATTTTTAACCTTGTGCTCATTTATCGTTGATAATGCCTGTTTTTAACGCGGTTAGCTCGCTGTTTGTTTGTCGTTGATACACATCAACTTTGACATTTTTAGGCAGGTCGATTTTGGAAGACGAAGAGCGACGTTTTTGGAAGACCGAAGCGGGAGCTCTACTTTTTTCGATAGGTTTCACACTCTCGTGTTTTCATTTTGTTGTCCTTTTGTTTGATTTCTTTATTCTTATAAGGTGTTGTAATGTTTGTGATTTTTATGATTTATACTATGACAGTGACACTGTTATGTTAGTGGCATAACCTTTTTATGTTATGTTACTAACATAACATAAAAAGGTTATGTTAGCGTGGAGTTGTGATGGAATTGACTTTCTCATCACAACTCCACACTAACACAACCTTTTTCTTAAATGGTTAGGAGATTGTGATATGAGACAAACCGATTCCAAATGAATGAGGATTTTATTATTTGTTTGTTGTTTATGTATTATGTTTTCATGTTCAACGATTATGTTTTAAATTTTCATTACCAGTGCTATGTTTCTCCAGTTTTTCTTTCAGGGGCAAAGCTACTGGCCGCGCCACGTCGCCATACTAACAATCCACCGGTTGGTCTCTTTTATTTTATGTTGTTGACTAGTTTTTTTATTGTTATTGTTTTGTTTTGCATTGTTTCTGATAGTTGTTTTGTTGTGTTCTGTTTTTTTTGTTATTGACACTTATTATTATCTCGTTAGTATTTTGATATGTTTTGTTCCCTAACTTATCCTTGTTTTAGTTCTTTACGACTCTTGATGCAATGTTATTTTTTTGTCTTTTTTGTTATTTTGTTGTTATGGTATTCTTTCGACTACTAATTTAATGTTATGTTGTTAACTTTTTCTGTAAGTTTTATGTTGTAATCTGTTCAGACTAACTATGTCAGTGGTCTTTTATTTTTCAATGTTGTGTAACTGGGTCGAGAGTTCTGTCCATACCTTTTTGAAGAACTCTTGAGACGACGTTAAAATGTAGAATTGTCGAAGCAATTGATCTAACTTGTTGAAGTCGAAACTGAAGCTTGAATGGCGCAATTTTTTCTGCTAACATGACTGGGTCTAACAATTTGGGGATTTTTGGAATTTTGGAAGAAAAGGATAGACAGAAGCTCAACTCAGCAAAAGTAACTTTCGACATTTGTTGCACTTCATCAACTAATTTGTTGTTGTTCTTGTTTATGTTTATTAATGTTATGCTTTGTATCATCACATTATTATTACGGTCCAGAATGCGATTGCCCGGGTTCGCATTCTGGACTTTCTAATAAAGTTTTTTCTCTTATTTGGTGAAGAAACGTCGACCGTTAGGTAGTGTACGAAAAAAATTGATGTAGAAAAAAGCACGTGTGGGTGTGCATGTGGTGAATGGTACCATCACTAGACGAGGAAATGTTTAGGCGACATGACTCTGAAAGAAGGAGTGGCACTGTTCTACTTTTATACAGCCCATAAATCTATAATCTCAGAATTTCGGCAAAACTTCGCAAGGAGGTAGGGACTTATCAGACAGGGAGTCCCAAATGTCTTTGAGCCTAACTTCCCAACGTAGTAACTTTGTTAGTATTCCTCGCTTTTCAGTCAAATTTTGCTTATAAATACTTCGTCTAGTTTTTAGTTATCCTTAAGAAAATCTTACCGTTTGCGCTTTACCTTCTCAAAATATTGTTTCTGGAGCAAACAATACTATGATTTTGAGGACGACCCAATGTTAACGTACCCTTTACTCAAACATCTATAGTAGCTCTTTTGCCTTTGAAGTTTTCGTGGAATCTTGATTTGCACATTGTGAAGCTAGCTTCACTCTACGTTTACAGTGCAAAACTAATCAAAAGTCTCTATTTATTAATGCAGGATTAAGATACAAACACTAAAGGTAGTGCCGTGCCAATAAGAAGAATAAGATCTCGGAAACAAAAATCTGAGAAAGTTGAAAACTCCAACTTTAACTCAGTTTAAGTCACTAATTCTAGTTGTAAGCTCTGCATTCGATACTGAAACATTGTTTTCAAGACATTCCATGCATACCAAAATCGCTGTTTTCTCGATTTCTTCAAAACTTGATTGCTACATTTTGATACTCTTGTTGAATCTCACAGGCGTGATTCGATCAACCTGCTTTCAATCGTCGGCTCAACAGCCTTTGAGTTTTTTTTGCGATCAGTCATGGAAAACAAGGCTTGCTTAGTTCCACACTAAATTTCAGGCGGTCTGGAACGCTTCAGAAGGTGTGAAACATTCTCGACGTCAACTATCTGTCTGTCACGGTGCGTGCGTTCCGCAAGAGTATGAGGGCTTCTTGTGAAGGCCAAATAAGGGTTTTCCGAAAACTGAGTGTACCTTATGATTTTGTAGGTTCTTCACAAGATTGCTGTTCAATTTCATGTGACAATGTTGCTTCGTACAGTTGCACCTGAGGAAATATTAGCCTTAAAGACTTTTGAGACACCCTGTAGGTAGGGTGGTGTACGAAGAAATTAATGTAGAAAAAACAATTGTGAGTATGCTTTGAACACAAGTGAACATTAAATGACTTTATTAGATACAAAGCGAGATATATGTCTGCAAAAATTCACTATTGGCTCAATTGAGGGAAAAGGGTCTTCTAGGCGTGCACGGTGTTCTTGCATGCACCTGTCAATTTTCTCTCTCCTTACGATGTCCTTTTGTCAAAGTTTTCGAGCGATACCCTTAAAAGGGCTTTTAGTGGATACATTTCTAACTGCTACCTACTCACCCTCTCTAGGTTTCGAAGGGTGCACATGGCACGATTGTTGGCCCCGTGCAAGCACTTCAGGGTTTTCCGGACAGGGGCGTGGCGCTATCGGATTAGAACGCGGAGGCTCTGAAAGCAACGGTTAGCTTTTGGAAGATTCTGCAAATCTGCAAGCGAACTAACCGGTGGTACGATTCCGCTATATTGCTTGTTCTAAGCTCGAATTTCCCCCCTTATACCAGATGTTCTTGAAGGGCCCAGCATACCAGTTTTCCTGCAAGTAAGCTATGAAGCTCACGCGTGTGATAAGCTGGATGCGTTGGTGGTACTGGTGGCCCGTGTAGCGCTGGTACTCTACGATGGAGACGTGGGGGAAGGAAAATGAGGCCCTTGAGAGTCATCCACCAATCCCTCACTAGATGTTCTTTCATTTCCGAACGCAGTCCTAATGACAGCGCCTTGCGATTCCACGCCTGTGCCAGGTGGAAGCTGCACCCTTCTACGCAGCCTTCCGGAAAGTGGTTCTAGCGTAGATGGCTGTCAGAGAGGATTACAAGTTAATTGTGAAAATTCTCACTTTTATTCCAACCAAAACAGCTCTCTCAAAATCAATTATAATTCTTAGTCTTCTGCAGTCTACACGTAATTCTGTTAGCTCCTGCTTGATCATTCCGGAAACTTTGTCGTACTCTGATTCGTTCTTTCTTCTTATCAATACATGCACTAGAGGAACATCTAAACGGCTTACGAGTGTTTGGCAGTCCCGAGTCAATCAAAGTGTCTTACCAATTCCTCCGTTACACACTCCATGGACAATGCAAAGTTGTCCATCATCTTCAAAAGCTTTCGGTGGTAGCTTGTGGATACCATCCGCTATCAGGGCGGTCAGCCCGTTCTCGACGACTTTCTGAAAAGAACATGTCAAGGGGATGTTGCGAAGGTGCAAGCAGACCTGAATAGTCGTTTTCGAGTAGTATACAGTCCAGGAGAGGAGAATTGAAGAAAAGTTGTTCTGTCTTTAAGCGTTCTCAAATTTTCTGGTATAGTGTGGACCCCGGCCAGCTTTCCATAGGTACCTGCGCGACGCACCCGCAACGCACGCCTTCAGTGCGTCTCCGTCCTAGCTTCCGATGGAAATCCTCCTTTTTCTCTCTTTTTTTGCTTTTGGTGTACTATATTCTCTCTATTTCAGGTATAAACAATTCGCGATGACCGGTAACGAGATTTCACGTGCTCTTATAGTTCTAGGACCTTCAGTCTTGTTTAGTAGTCTTGTCTTTTCCTTTTTTTGTCCGAAAAATTGAAATTTGATTGGATTTTAAGATAATGCCCCTTCAAAAGTTTCTTGTATAAAATAAGAGTCTCTTTTGGTTTGATGTGCAAGGTATAGACAGTGTCTCAAGTCAAAATTGAGCCTCCCGAGAAGCCAGTAGACATTTGTTTGCTTAAATGTCCACTTTTTTTGAGATCTTTGACCGCTTTAGTTTCTACGTCTATGAAGAGAAATGTTTCAAACATGCTGTTGTTCTTTAATTTCTTTACGTTTACTTATTACAACCTATCTGTCAGTGCAACTTCGGAATTTCATCCATTGATTGAATTTGAGGTCTCATGGAGGTTGTTTGCGTTTCATTCCTGCATACGTCTCTTTCGTAGCGAGCCTAGAGGTTTCCACTTTACATTTTTCTCCTTTGTGAGCATAAATATGCTCTACTGCTCATGAGTGAGGCGAGAAGCATTAAGAAGGGCGCGCGCTGCGTGCGCGACGCGGAAGTACCTATGGGAACCTGGCCGGGGTCCACACTATACATCACAAGAGAAGCCATCGGTCGATCGTGCATTTGAACACTCCTGAACACAATTCTTTCTTCTTTACTTGACTATGGCAAGCCAAGGCAACTGACTTCAATATAGTTCTTCTGCGCTTGCAGTAACCTTCTTGGTGGAATTCGTCCATTATCTCGCGCACTTCCTTTAAGCCTAAAAATGATATTCTCATGCGTTGTCTTCTCCGCTAAGCCTACTTACTAAAATTGGGAATATGTGAAAAAGCGTCGAGGATATCTTGCCACACCTTCCGTACCACCGCATCTGCAAAATTGGGATCGTTTCTGATTTCTTGTAATTTTTTATACATAAATCGTTCAACAAAATTTTTCTTAGCCTTTTTTGGCAGGCAGTTGTGTGGTAGGGCGCAGGGATCCTCCAGAAAATCGTCACCAATAACCTAAAATTTCATCCTTACAATGGGAGGCGTCGTTGTTGTTATGGCTTACATCTATCTGCACATGCCGTCTTGCTTTGCAACAGGAGATGCACTTGTAGACCAAACAGCCCGGCTTTTGCTTGCGGAATGCAAAAGCATAGCAAGCCTTCTACCTGGAATTTTGTAAGTCAATACACGGTGTCTCCCATACTTACTTACCTGGTACTGTCCTCGGAACCTCTGGACTCCTGAAATAGATGATGTGTTAGTGGATAACAATGAAGAAAATTGGCTTATGGGAGGGGGCGCAGGAGAAGCTTCGCGAGTGGACGCAGAAGGATGGCTTCCTAACCTAGGAGGCGAAGGAGAAGAGCTGATGCGGAAGCATAGCAATATAATCTAGGCGGCGAACGAGGAGGAGTCGCAGGAGAAACTTCACGAGTTGGCACAGAAGAGTAGTCGTCTAAAGTAGGAGGCAAAAAAGAAGGCGACGTGGGTGAAGCTTCGCGAGTTGGCGCAGAAGAGTAGTCGTCTAAAGTAGGAGGCAAAGGAGAAGGCGATGTGGGTGAAGCTTCGCGAGTTGGCGCAGAAGAGTAGTCGTCTAAAGTAGGAGGCAAAGGAGAAGGCGACATGGGTGAAGCTTCGCGAGTTGGCGCAGAAGAGTAGTCGTCTAAAGTAGGAGGCAAAGGAGAAGGCGACGTGGGTGAAGCTTCGCGAGTTGGCGCAGAAGAGTAGTCGTCTAAAGTAGCAGGCAAAGAAGAAGGCGACGTGGGTGAAGCTTCGCGAGTTGGCGCAGAAGAGTAGCCGTCTAACACGAGCGATTGAGGAGAAGGCGTAGGGGACGTTGCGCGAGCAGTGCAACAGGGAAGTGCAGGTGAAAGAGGACATGGATTCGCTTGTTTACGAGGTAGTTGAACAAGACGCGCTAGCTTTGAAGGAGGAGGGCATGGCTGCAGAGAATTAGGAGCTTCAGAGTTTGTCAAGAGTTTACGAAGCTCAGGATTTGCACAGCCAGGGCGTTTTCGGGCAAGAGAAACAGAAACAAGGCGTGCTGGTGTAGAAGAAGCTGCGGAACTGGACAGGTTGGCCGGCGTGGAAACTAGGTGAACAGGTGGCGCAGGAGCAGAAAGAAACTGTACGCAAAGAAGCAGAAGCAGTAACGCCAGTAGGAGAAGCTGAAACAAGGTGTGTTGGTGTGGAAGCTGCGGAAATGGAGGGGTTAGCAGGCGCAGAAAGTAGGCGGAAAGGCGGAGGAGGAGCAGGAACTAATTGTGCCGGCAAAGAAGCAGAAGCAGGTGGACGCATACGAGTGGAAGAAGGAGCGGAAGCAGAAGACGCAGAGACAGAAACGGCAATAGGAGAAGCGGAAACAAGGCGGACCGGAACAGCCATGGGAGTAGCGGAAACAAGGCGAACGGGCATAGGAGAAGCGGAAACAAGAAACGGACATGACAGAAGTTGATGAACGCGAGAATAAAGGCAGGGAGCGGCTGTCCGGATGAGCTAGAGATGGGCGCGGTAGAAGCGGTCGCAGAGTTGAAGATTGAGTTGCAGAAGTAACTCTGTAGTTTTTATGAGAACTGTTTGGAACACGATGGAATGACATTGGAAAGCTTGTAAACGTAAACGTAACAAGGGTGAATACTACAAGCTCGCCATCCTTTCATACCCGTTCAGCAAAAGGCGTTAGGGAATTATTCTCACTTCCAAACATGAAAGGTCAGGGATACGGTAGCTGACCACCTACAACGATGTATCATGTCGAATAGCTTAGCATTTTAGCTTATAAAGCTAGTGTAACTCTGAAAGTCTGGTTGAGTTCATGAGCTTCGCAAGGCAATGATGCATGGAACCACAATGAAATCGAAACATATCCTTATACAAAATTAAATATCGTACAACTATTGCCTGTTTCTCACTGCTTCTGTAAGGACTGTTACATACAAAGCTAAATCGTAATAAAACAACAGATGAAGGTAAGAAAACTCACAAATAAGTCATATGGATCACCTTGACTTTCTCAATGAGTAACGAGACCTGGATTATCTAGCCTTCTACAATGGTTTCATATTTCATAAACTCATAAAAACCGGTGTAAAGGTCTAGATTTCTATCCAAGTGATAAGTGGAGAGAATAAGTAGGTACAGTGACCGCCAAAAAGTTGCGGACAAGCCGCCTTCCTTTTTTCATCGCTCATTTTCGGATGGAAAACAAAGATGAAAAACGATTAGATTGCATGAGATGATAGAGCTCTTCAAGAGCTACAACCCACACATTGCGGAAAGTGTTTATTATAAAAATTTTAAAAATCTTTCCTTAAAAAAAGTCCGAAAATGGCCGCGTCACAAGGACATTAATTCTTCGAACGCGAAAAATTTCTTTTAGGTCTTTTCTTGGGGCAAAAACAGAAGTTTTCCGGACAGGTAAGCATACTATGCTGTAGAGCTCATCGAGGACAACAATCGGGTAATAGTTACTTCCAAAAAACCCAAGCTTGAATTTTATATTGCTTTTTTATTGAAAATAACTTCTAATTCCCCTTTTTAAGCCAAATTTCTTCGCATGGGAACCTATTCAAGATGTCCCAACAAAGCTAATTAGATAAAATGGATGCCTTTTGATATTTTCTATGCATCCGACGTGTGCTGTCGAGTTTCTTTGCTGGAAATGGTTCTTGACAGTGAGTGCACATGACCCCACCTGCATCTCACCACTGACTTGCACCGCTTTGCGGGCCTGTAGCTCGGCCAGCAGTCACTCTACGAGCCTGCAGGTAGGCTCATTCGAAAGAGCGTGAGTTCCTCGACACGATGGTATGCAAAAGAGTTGGGTTTGAGGAATCCCGGAGATTTGGCGGATGGGGTGATAAAGCGCAGCTTCAGTTGTAGGTTGAGGATTTTTAAGTTAAAGTTGAGCAAAGCTCCTTTCGTCACCAGTGCCATCCTGAAAGTTTAAAGCCGTTAATTTTATTGCAATAGACCCATTTCGGAGCACTAAGACTGTTCTGATGTTGATAAGAGCCTTCACTCCATTCACCTCTAAGGCTGCGCTTTATCACCCCATCCGCCAAATCTCCGGGATTCCTCAAACCCAACTCTTTTGCATACCATCGTGTCGAGGAACTCACGCTCTTTCGAATGAGCCTACCTGCAGGCTCGTAGAGTGACTGCTGGCCGAGCTACAGGCCCGCAAAGCGGTGCAAGTCAGTGGTGAGATGCAGGTGGGGTCATGTGCACTCACTGTCAAGAACCATTTCCAGCAAAGAAACTCGACAGCACACGTCGGATGCATAGAAAATATCATTTTATCTAATTAGC